TTTCCCTAAACTCATGGTATAAAAGAGGGAGAAGTAAGGTCAGGGCAGGGCAGGAAGGAGATTGAGTGTGATTTTTGAGGAACCGTAATAGAGATAAACCAGAGGGTCAGGTTCTAGGAACAAGCAGTGTTCAGATAGAGAATTGGAGGTGAAAATGAATTGTTGTTATGATTATATCCTTTTCCTTCTAGAAGGAGACAATCCTGAGCCATTTCCATCTTAAAAATTAATTTTGGTGTTTATTTTTGTTTGAAACTTTTTAAATTACTGCAGTTAGATGCCTGTGTATCAAAGCTAAGTTATTTTTAATTTATTCTTCATTGGTTGTTTTTGCCTTTATGATTTTCAAAATAATGTTTCAAATGTTAAGTGCAGCAATGGATAATAGTACACTGCTATATGGTATCTTGATTACTTGATATTTTGTTCACCTGCTTTCTTTTTCTTCTTCTGTCTTCCATTTTATATAGCTTAGCAAAAATACCACATAAACTTTATCTGAGAACCAGCCAGGAAGGAGATGATTTAATTCTTTTTGTGAAGGGCAAGGATGTTCTTTGGACTCCTTAAAGTAACTGATTTCTACGCTTCTACAGTTGACCATATACAGAAATATGTGCCTTGCATTTGAAGATCTGTAATCTACCTCAAAAAATCTTGATGGGATTTTGCTTCTTATCACATTCTTCACTATAAATTTGATTTTGCTTCCAAACATTTCATGCAGTGATTTTCTATCATTTTTTTTTTGTTGTTGTTGTTGCATGTATTTCAAAATCTGTGCTGCCTATGACTCTATAGGGATGCCTTCATCATACTTGACTCATGACGAACTATTGCTGCTGTAATCAAGAATTTACTGTTTTTCCATTTGTTTCCTTGGTGATAGCTATTGTTTCCTCCCACTTTTCTTTTGCTGTGAAAACAGAATCTTTCTTCAAGCTGAACTAAATGCAAAGTACGTGGCATATGTACACTTGAGTAATAGCCTTTGTTTTCCAAGGGCAATCACAAGAGTAAAGTTTGAAGTTCTTGTCCTCTTATCCTGAGAAATCTGAGAAATGTAGAGGAAAGGGCAGAATGCCAGGGGGGAAAAACTGCTGAGAACAAGAACAGCTCTTACGCATTAATAACTGCTACTGCAGGGCTGATGGAAGAAGAGCTGATAGTGATCAGCACAGATGAGTTAATCCAGCTGAACTCTTCACATAGGAGGCCACCTACTTCTTTTAAAAATATATATTATTTATTTTGTTTAGGGATGCATCAGGGCAAGGGAGATTCTGCACCATATTTCGGTCTTATTCAAGAGGTGCTCAGGTAAGCAAAGTACAACCTTCTCAGCGATGAGTAATGGTTGTTAGATGAATGAAAGCAGTTAGCAAACCATTGTGATGGCTTCTACAGCTCACTTGCAGATTGCATGCAGACTCAGTAATAGTCTGAAGATAACATGGAAGTAACAAGGGGCAGGATTTTCTTTTTGGGAGGGGAAATCCATGAGACTGAAGACGAATCAGGCTAAAATACAGTGATGCAATACCTCAATATTGTAATAACTTAAGCATGCTATTTTACTTTGATCGTGTGAAAGCTATGCTAATACTACTTTTTAAAACTGTGTGCCAAGTAAGAGAAATTGATAACATAAAGCTGTCAAGAGTAATGCGAAAAATAAACAGTCTAAAATGTGATGAAATGTAATGACTTGTAAGGAAATTACTTTTAAAAAAAACCCAAAAACCCACACTAAAAGTCACTGTAGTTTCCAAGTTTGAAGTATTGCTATAAATCCTGACATGTATTGCTCTGAGGAGTTGCATCTGGTATGTTCCAGAATTGCACAGAGCATTGAATCTTCAAGCTACCAAATGTGACCAAAAATATTGATTTCCTATGACTTGCGATGTGTCTATGATCATCGAAACTTGTTCACTATTAAAAGTATTTACCAGCACATTAGACCCCAAAACTAAGTCAGGGTTTCTCCCCCTTAGCTGATCTGTAATCTACACAGAGAAATGGGGCTCGGTTTCGCAGGATGCTGAGGTTCTGCTCCATTGAGAAGCTGCTCACCATCTTACAAGATTATTTCAGAATTGGAGAATTTACAGGTAGCATTCTCTATGTTATGCCTCTGTTAAATTTACAATTATTTTTTTAATACAGGGAGTGATACTAGTGTATGATATTACAAATCGTTGGTCATTTGATGGAATCGATCGATGGATAAAAGAAATAGATGAGGTAAGGTACAGTCCCAGAGTGTCACTAGTCTGTAACAGATGAACAAGACCAACTGCTTATGATATTTTCTACTGTTTTTGCTGGCATTTGCAGGCAGTGCTTATTACAGAGTTATACAAGATGCCAAATTTACAATTTTCTTTCTATGTTTATAATTCTAGAAAGCTGGAAACGGATCAGCTAAAGTGTCTGATTTGTTTAAAGGTGTTGATGGAAAGCATATGGAGGGCAAAGATTTCAAACTGTAGTCCCACTCCTGCTGTAGATTTGCTACATCATCTGTGCAAGCCTGTCTTCTCCAAGGAAGGAATGTTTTTAGATCCGAGAATCATAGAATAATTTAAGCTGGAAGGGGCCTCTAGCGATCATCTGGTCTAACCTGTCACTTAGTATTTAAATCCCGAAAAAGCTTTTGTTTGTTTTAATTGAGGGAAGGAGAAAATGGAAGCCAAACTATTCATTTTTTATTGCTTCTCTTTGCTCAGCATGCTCCTGGTGTACCAAAAATCCTGGTTGGAAATCGCCTTCACTTAGCCTTCAAGCGCCAAGTGTCTACTGAACAAGCACAAGCCTATGCTGAGAGGCTGGGCATGACTTTTTTTGAAGTCAGTCCGCTTTGTAATTTCAATATTACGGAGTCCTTTACTGAGCTAGCAAGAATAGTATTGATGAGACATGGAATGGACAGGCTCTGGAGGCCAAACAAGGGTAAGCCATGCACACTGAAAATGTGTAAATTTAGTCCTAGCTAAGGTTTATCGTTCATTAATACAAAATAATTTTCAGAAATTTTAACCCTGATGCAAAACCTCAAAAAAGAAGAATCAGAAATCCTGTACAATTTGCTTTTTAAACAGAAAAGATGTATCTGCAGGCATAACCTGTTCCTGCTTTTGTGGGGAATAACATACCTTTTCTAGAACTTACACGCTCAGTCATCTAAGTGTTAAGACATAAATAGGAAACTGAAGCCGCAGATTTTATTTGGATAATGTATGTGTGGGAAAGGGTGTGGGGAGGAGAAATGCGAATTCATTCTGGAAGTACGGAGTGCATGCAGTGCGGGGTATGCTACTACCAGGTGGCCATTGTAATGCGAGTTTTATGTCTGTTTTTAAGTACTGAGTCTGCAAGACCTTTGTTGCCGTGCCATAGTTTCCTGTACCCCTGTGCATCTTGTTGACAAGCTCCCTCTCCCTGTTGCCTTAAGAAGCCATCTTAAATCCTTCTCCATGGCAAATGGCCTTAATGCCAGGATGATGCATGGACGCTCATACTCCCTCACATCCAGCAACATCAATAAAAGGAACAGCTTAAAGAAAGCTAAAATTATCCGTCCACCACAAAGTCCACCAAAAAACTGTACAAGAAACAGCTGTAAAATTTCTTAAGCTCTCTGTGGGAAAAGGAACCCAAATGGAATCCCCTGACGTGAAGCCTTGTACACAAGGACTCCTTATTTAATGGTCGAGCACGCTCTGTGTATGTATCGCACTACATAGACAAAAATAAGTCTTATTTTAGAGCTTGCTCGTTACAGTAATGCTGCTTTAGGATGAATGACATGTTCAGTGCAACTGAAAGGATGTCACATTTTGCTGTTGGATTTTCATACTGCAGTTTAGTTTCTGATGTGCATGATGCCGTTGTTTTTACTAGTAGATGTGTTTTCATATAGGGGATAATTATCATTATATTCAGTTCTTGATTCCATGAAATCTGGAAAGTGACTTACTGTGTAATTGTAGAAAATCCTGCCTTTTGCAAACTCTTCAAAAATATGAAAATGAGTCATCGGTTTGCATATTCAGACAGAGGTTTTTAAACACAATGTATTGTATACATTGTTAAATTCTACAAATGGTGTGACGAATTCTAGTAATACTGCAATTGTGCATTTGGATTTTTTGTAAAGCTTTCTTGATAACTTTGAAGCACTAACTTAACTAAGCTAAAATGTATATATAATTATTATGCACATACACAACAAGGTTTTGTTCCATTAGTGTATGTATTAGATTTGATAAAGTTTTTGGTATGTTATTTAATACTTTGGGGAATTAATTTGTGGTTTAAATACTTATTTTTCTGTAAAAAAAAAAAATAAATTACATTTTGTACCACTCCACAAGAAAGTCCTAGGAGGAAAATGCCAAAGACACTGTGGTAAAAGGAATGTGACTTGAAGAGCTGCTTTATAAGGAAAGAACACTATTTAAAAAATAAATAAATGTTTCTGGAAAAGAAATCCTATTATGCTTTCTTTAACTGGGGGAGGTTGTCCTTATCTTCCTCTAGAAGAATCTGAAAAACCAATATACCTGAACTAGACATCAGGAATGTGAAGTCATCCTGAAAGCATCGTGTCATGCTTCTGATACATCCGTCTTCAAGATTGTTAACTGAAATGTGGAAGAACAATACGTGTTACGTCTTCCTTCTGTTTGTGAAGGAATTGTGTGACTTGTTCTCCTGAGCAATAACAATCCTTTAAGGTGATGGTGTAACTGGATCCCAGTTTCTTCTAGGTGTCTTTGCTATTGTGAGATACCATCAAGCTAGGTATCTATGATATTCCTTCTGGAGCAGCACAGACAGTCACAGGGGAAATTCAAACCAGTAAAATGCCAAAGTTATGCCAGGACCTGAACCAAATAATGCATCACTACTGAAAGGAAAGTGCAGTCAGGAACAAGTCTTCTAGTTAAAGCAGTGGCAAAAGGAATTGCGATGGAAGGAATTCCTGCCGGATTGCTCCCTCGGTGATGAGCAGTCTCCACCTGCTGGCCTGCCTGTGCTGAGTGAGCTGCAGAGAAATGCTGCAGGTGTAGGATGAAGCTCTTACACTGCAGAAATTTCATCTCCACAGCTTAAGAAAATGTACATAGCGGCCTATGGCTACGAGAGGTTAAACCTGAATCGGAGACATCCATACTTGGGGAGTGGTCTGGTTATGTTTGACTAGCAGCCGTGCGCAGGACAGAGTTCTCTTCCATGCACATTGCTATACTGTTTTCAGTTTCTTTCTTATCATTGGGTTGTTAGTTTGTTTCCTTTCTGTATGTGATACACAGTAAGAATGCCTCGCAGGGGAGCATCAATATGGATGTGTGTGTCCTCAGGTATTCTTCCTGCCAGCCACTATAAAGACGAGGTAAGAAGAGGTTAGAGCAGCACTCCTCTCCTGGTAATGCCTGCAGCAATCCCACGTGGAGTAAGTAAAGCCTGAGCCTGTAGCTGGAAAGAAGACAACTTAACAAGCCCTTGGTTTTTTTATTTCATGTACCTTTTCTGCCCAAGGAGACAAAATGTTGAAAAGATGCAATGTGATTATCTTGCACGCACACATATATATATTGCACTGCAAAGCTGTAGTAATTCCCAATCATAAGTCTACACTAGAGAAGAGTAGGTCACAAATCTAAAATACATCAAGCCATTGACATGGAAGGCACAGGAAAGGGAGGGAACGCACATGGAGGATAGGAATAGCTGGCATTTGTGCGGGCTTTCAGCTAATCGTACAGTCATAGACTAACTTGAGGTGGAAGGGGCCTTAGCAGACCATTGGCTCCATCATCTTGCTTAAAATGAATTCGCTATTGAACTCAGGTTGCTCAGGACCTGGGGTCTTGAAAGCTTCCACATTTTCAAAGTGGTTGGGTGGGGTTTTTTGGAAATTAGGGGATCCCCTATTTTACCATGTTCTAACTGTATTTATTCTGTTCTTACTAGTTTGATACTAAATATGCCCTTAGTGCCACCATTTTCTACTAAATGGACCTTTAGAGCTGGGAGAGGGCCCAGGGGCGGCATCGTCCCGCGTTGTGGTGCCCTGGCCTCCCTAGATGGAAGCTCACCTTTACCAAGCCTCGGTCACCCACCCGAGCTCCTAGGCCAGCAGCCCGGCGTGAGCCCTCCTGCGCTGGCCCTGTGAGGCGAGGGCTCCCCGCAGGCCTGCCCGGCCCGTGCAGGGTTCGAGGGGGTAACGCTGGCGGCCCCT